GGGTCTCCAGTCTTCTCAGGAAAGCACCCAAAACACTAAGCTAGGAAATCACTGTCACATCTTTCTTTGGCCACAGAACAGGACACAGCTCATTAGATCACTCACGGGTATCAGGGATGGGAGCTGTGGCACTGGAAGATGGATCTGTCCTTACCATGCTGCAGAAAAAGTTGTATTTCTATGGGGGGATCTGTGACATCAGTGAGGGGAGGTTTCAAAGTACCTAGGAGGAAAGCCTGAGATACAGATTTCATTTTCTCCCATTAGCATTATTGATTGTTTCCGATAACTGTCTACCTGATAACAGAGCTGCTGTGGAGCTTTCTTTAGACACTGGACCTTCTCTGCTCATTTTACAGGGTGCCTATGTACCTAACCCAAAAATTGCTGAATCCTTCCCTCTCTTATTGTATAGCTGAGCGTTCTCTACACTCCTTTATTTCTCACCTTCTCCTGCTTTCCTCTTCTCATTGCAACCAGTTTCCTCCAAGTACAAGTTACACGCTTCCTCCTTCCATCTGCCTGAGCACTGCAGCTCAGGAAGCAAGGACAGGGGAAGACGGACACAACAATTCCTTAAAATGAAGGTCACCAGAAACAGGAAATGGTGAAATGAGACATTTTCCCCTATTCAGACCCCTGCAAGCAGCTGAAATACTTTTTTCTGAAAGGTTGCAAGCAGTTGTCTCTTGATGAATACAGTGATAAAAAAACTTCAATAATATTTCAAGTAAGACCAGAACTTATCTTCCCTCAGGCTTCTTTATTTCATAAGCGCTTCATTCTCTAAAACATCACCAGGAAATGACACTTCACCACCACATGTACGCACTGAAATAAAACTACAGCGCACGCAGGAACTGTTTTCAAATTCGCATCAAGGCAAGCAGAACAAGATCAAGGTACTAAAAGCAATGGCAAAGGTGTGGCTGAGGAGACAGTGAGCTTACTCTCTTGCTATCTGCTTTGCTGATTCCCAGAGAACCTATCATGGCTTTAAAAACCTTGTGCAGCCTGCTGGAACCATCCCAGCCACATCCAGTCCAGATAACATGCTTGGGCAAAGAGAATTAACTCTTTCTTCCTGGCTCCTTCTGCCATAAGTGAGACTGCGCTTCTTATCAGTTATAAGAAACAGTCCCATCAACTGATACAGTCTTGCCATTTAGAAATTTGCCTTTGCTCCCGATGCTAGATTTGTCAGCTTTATCATACTGCTCGCTGCCGTGAGGGGCCCTCAGCCCTCATGGTAATAAACGTTTCCACACTTTCTGTGCAAGGAGAAATTTTAGGTGAGTTTAAAAAAGTACACCAGAGTTTTTACTATAGCATGAATAATTGTGGCTGAGATTAATTTCTTTGTCTATATAAACTTCACTGTGTATATAAAACTTCACTGTCAGTAGTGTTCCTATTGTACTGTGGGAGTTTCAGCATCCATCAAAGAACTTTCACCAGACCTCTGTGGTAAAATGATCGACAACCCTGACATTGCAAAAATACTCTTTGCTGCGGGAAGCTTCACTTCTATCTAGGAGGAGGATTACTGCGAGAATTAACTTGTTTCTGGCCCCACCGTGGTACACTGGTGTTACTCACACAGTATAGTCTCCCTTCTGCTTGCTCTGAGATTGAGCTTGTTCATAGATGGAGCCCATCTGTCACTCATGGCGCATGTCCTGAACAACCTTCTTATTACTCCACCTTCAGCAGAAGAGGTTGCTCAAATCAAACCCCAGATGCAGGCTCATCTGGCACTTACCATCTGCAACAACAGATCACCCCATAGTGTGATCTTTTCTACCTGCTCTGGCTGCTCTAAAACATACCTAATGATGATGCTTACAGACAGACCAACTGCAAGGCAAAGGCATTAGAAGCCTGCATCAAACCCGTAACTTTCACCTTCATGACTAAGTCAGCATCAAGGCAATGTCAGACTTTGGTCCTTTCTGCAGTCGCTTCAGGGGTATCTAACCAACATTACCTATAAACATACAAAGTATATGACGCATGCATCCTTTTAACCTTCTACTTGTCAGTGGCAATAAAATAACAAAGACAGAGGATGAGGGACTTGTTACGCTCAAACACCACAATATGAGTACTGATGTGCTGAAAGGAACCATATATAAAAAGCATAATGTTAAGGTCCTCAATCAATCAAATTAAAGATTTTCTATCTCATCTCATGCAATTACCAGGTGTGAGAAAATAACTTTACCTATTACCTAAAAGTGTTTTTTTTGCTCACTGTATTTTAAAGTATTCATCACTGAATAAATAATCAGAGCTTTCAGTCTGATAAAGATATGGATACAAAATGTTAGCACTTGGAACTCTCAAGAAAAGGGCAACCCCTTTCAATCTTAAATGCCAGCCTGACTCTCTCTTTCTTCCAGTGCTCTCCCAGGAAAAAACTCCCACAAATTTCAAAGGAAGTTTCAACAGATAAGGTCATGTGTTTTGACCCTTACCACTTTTGACATTAAAAATAATTGAATCTATTGTTGCAGCAAGTAAGAGCCCAATAAAATACTTGTATTAGTATTTTTTTTTTTTTTTTTATAATTACTGATGTTCTATGCAGGTGGAAAGCTTGGGTGCATGCCTGTAGGACACTAATGGGATTTTTTTTTTTCCAAGCATCACATTTATCAGTGCACTAGAAAAAAATAAGCCTGTATTACAAAGTTTCATGCTGTCTCTCATTATCCCATTTTATAAGCTTGTCCTTTGATTTATTATAAAGATTAAATATATTTTATCAGTGAGATCAGAGGTATTAGATGAGAGGCCATGGAAATACCAGAAGAAAACTGCTAGTTTTCCATGTGTAAACTCTTTTGTATATCACATCTTAGGTTCAGCCAATGCTGCTGAATTGCCACAGGGGTCTGATAGGATCACAGAATCACAGAATCATGGTGGTGGATTCATGTTCCCCAGCATTGGGCATGATGAAAACTGTGGGGTCTCCACCTCTCATACAGTCCAGATGTAAATCTCTCCCCCTGCCTCCTGCAGGGTGCTCTGCAAATTGTTTATCTTTGTCAACTTTGCTGCAGTTGGTAGCAGGGTCGCTGACGGGAATACCAATTCTGCAGAGCAGCGGTAGGATACTGTTAGCTTACCAAAGATGATTTTTTTTCTTTAAATTTATTTATTTTTTAAAAGAAAGAGTTTGGATTAAACTGAGATCAAATCTAGTCCTCAATCGACAATCTCCTGCAACCAGAAGACCCAGATTTTAAATTGATTTTTCAGGGACTAAAGTCCCTCTTTCTAGGGGAAGAGATACATTGGAATGTGTGGTAAAGTTTCCTATACCTCTGAGAAGAGGAAACACAAGTTTTTACTGTGTTTTTAATCCCTATGTACTTTACAAATGATGTGACAAATGGGTTCTTCTTGTAATGCCCAGAACAGATTATGTAGGTGTATTCAATCCAGTTTAAAACTAATCAGACAAACCACAGCAGTGTGCAGCTCAGCCCCACCTCCCGGAGCTGGATGAACCATACAAATAAATACTAGGCAGGCTTTGGCAACCCATGGCACCTTCTGAACTTCTGTGGTTATCTTCCTAGTTGTATCCAACTAACCCAGCATGCTGCATGGAGCTAGCTTCAAAGCAGTTGTCACCACAGCATCCACATATCCCTGAGCTATATACAGTTTTCATGGAAATCCTGCTACGCTTCATTGTGGTTATGTCTGATACAAAACATGAAAGACAAGCCTTTTGATTTGGAGAAACATGTCATTTTTGGTGACAATAGCTTCTCAGCTGTCAAGTCAAAAAATACGATTGTCACTCAGAGTAATATAGCCATCTATTCCAGTTCATTAGTCTTTGTCTGACACATCAGTGAGCAGCTTAAACAGCACACAGTAAAGAACATCTTCAAGTATAAACCCTGAAAATTCTTATTCTGCATTTAACCTTACGCAAGAATTTGCACTTAGCTAAATGAGACCTCACATGCAATTACAGGCCATTTTCAGGAGTACAGGCTTTAGGGTGTCAGAAGGTACAGTCAAGTCTCCTGCCTGAAAGCCTTCACTGTGCAATAAAAAGGTCAGAGAGCAACTGGGCTGTAATTCAAGCTTCTTCTGGCTCTTGAAGGAGCGAGATCTTCACTGCTTTCTTTCAAGTTCTAGTAAGAACAGTAAGAAATCAGAAAAAAATTCATGTGTTCTTGCAGACAATCCAGGCTTATGACTTGCAAAACCACATGTAGTAATTATCAGTCATCGTGGAAGAACAAAGACAAGAAATCTTCTAAATAGATCACAAAGCTTGAAAACAAACACATCAGGTACCAGTTTCTACCACATGCATAGGTGCCTGGATATGGAATTCTTGCTCAGACCAAGTAACAATATAAAAATAAGCTTCTGCAAATTTTCATACTTATTTTTCAATTAAAAGAGTCTTAAACCAGGAGCATTAGAAAGCAATAGCATAAGGAGGGGTGTGGCAGGAACAGACTTTTGTTTTTCTCAGAAAACAAATGACATACATCTTTCCTGCCCACTAGAACAAATAATTTATGGTTATGCAAGTTACTCAGTAAAAAGTCAACTCTTTTGTCATGCATTTTTCTTGCTCCTCTATTAGCAGTTACAAGGAGTTTGAATGTGGCTAAGTTCTCCAGAGCTGTTTTTTCATGCTACTATTCCCTTTACACATAATCTTGTAAATCAGTGTAACAAGATTCCTTCCGATTTACCCTCTAGCTCTAGTAGCAGAACCTGAATATACAGCTTTGGTGAGCTGCTGCTTTAACTGTAGTGCACTCAAAATGTTGTTTTTGCCTTTTTTTAAAAGCAAAAGCTGGTAACAGAGCTAAAGATCTCTTAGAATCTGAAAAATCTCTCCAAGCCAAGTTTCAACAACCTTAAAAACATACATGAATTGGGGCTGCATTACAAACTTTTAGTCTTGTTTAGCAAACAGTTACAGACTAACAAACCAATCTGACCGCAACTATTACCTGCTGAAGTGTGCTTAAATTTTTCACTCTTCTTCTTCCTCCACTTCCATGGCTTAAAAAGCCTCCCAAGAGTGGCAAATTTGCTTCTTCTTCTGATCGGAGGCGTGTGAGTCCCAGGTACTAGAGAATCTGAACGCATTGCAGCCAGTCTTTCCACTTCTTCAGCTGTAGTTTCAGCAAGAAAAGGAGAAAAAAAAAGGGGGGGGGGGAATGAAATAACTGCTTTAATAAATCACCAGACAACCACACAGATGGTCAAAATTTTCCATGGTTACAGAGAACAGTAAAAAAGAGAAAAAAGTGTAGTCATTATTTTAGCATTGTTTTCTATGATGGGGCTACAGTACTGATGGATAGGGGAAAAGTAGCTGATGTTGTCTACCTGGGCTTGTGCAAAGCATTTGACACTGTCCATGACACTGGAGGGAAGGGATGCCATCCAGAGAGACCTTGACATGCTTGTGAGGTGGGCTGATGATGCCAACCTCATGAAATTTAACCATGCCAAGTGCAAGGTCCTACACCTGGGTCGGGGCAATCCCAGGCACAGCTACAGGTTGGGCAGAGAAGAGATTCAGAGCAGCACTGCAGAGAAGGATTTGGGGGTGTTGGTCGATGAGAAAATGAACATGAGGCGGCTTCAGTGTGCGCTTGCAGCCCAGAAAGCCAACCGTATCCTGGGCTGCATCAAAAGGAGCGTGACCACAGGTCGAAGGAGGTGATCCTCCCCCTTTACTCTGCTCTTGTGAGACCTCACCTGGAGTACTGTGTGCAGTTCTGGTGTCCTCAACATAAAAGGGACATGGAACTGTTGGAACAAGTCCAGAGGAGGGCCATGAGGATGATCAGGGGACTGAAGCACCTCCCATATGAAGACAGGCTGAGAAAGTTGGGGCTGTTCAGCCTGGAGAAGAGAAGGCTGCGTGGAGACCTCATAGCAGCCTTCCAGTATCTGAAGGGGGCCTATAGGGATGCTGGGGAGGGACTCTTCATTAGGGACTGTAGTGACAGGACAACGGGTGATGGGTTTAAACTTAAGCAGCGGAAGTTCAGGTTAGATACAAGGAAGAAGTTCTTTACTGTGAGGGTGGTGAGGCAGCAGAACAGGTTGCGCAAAGCAGAGGTAAATGGTCCATCCCTGGTGGTGCTCAAGGCCAGGTTGGACAGAGACCTGGGCAACATGGTCTAGAGTGAGGTGTAGAGGCTGGAACTGATGATCTTAAGATCCTTTCCAAATCAAACCATTCTAAGACTTAATTTCAGTGGAATCCATAATCTGCTGTAAAGATCATTATTAGCCATCAGTTTCGACGGAAATATAGATTATTACAACAGGCAAGTTACAATTCATACTTAATTGTTCTGCATCACTCTAGACAGCCAACAATCCATCTGACAACCATTACTGGGGAAATGGGGTAGAGACTTGGGAAAAGAAAGCGCCAGAAGGAAAAAAAAAATAAAATAAAAGGAGCAGTATGGCTTACAAGAAATATTGCAAGTTTGGGTTTGTTTTTTGGTGTTTTTTGGGTGGTTTTTTTTTCAATAGAAAGAGACATTTCCATGAATTAATGTCTATCAAGAGTAAGGACTCTGATAAGTAATGACCTTCTGGTGTCATTACTGCGTCCATTAAAACTGCCTGGGTTACAAAAGGTGCTGCATTAATAACAGAAAGGGTGCTAAAAAAAATCAGACTAATAGAATTGTTTAGGTTAGAAAAGACCTTTAAGATCATGAAGTCCAACTGTTAACCTAGCACCGCTGAGTCCACCACTAAGCCATGTACCACATCTATACATCTTTAAAGTACCTCCAGGGATGGTGAGTCCTACTTTCTGTCCACTCATTCCCCTCCAATTCTCCTTTTAACACAGGAACTTCAAGAAATTTTAGAGTCCACACTAAGAGCTGAATTTCCTCAGAACTGTTTTCACTAGGCTGTGTTTAAAAATTTCAGCATTCTGTAACTTTCATCCTGTAATACATCATGACAGTCTATATAGCTAAAGAAAATCCAAACCCTGAAGAATTTAAATTACCCTTCTCCCCCAGTGACAGCAAGAGAAGTCTGGAGATGGTCACTTGGCACAGTTACATTGCATGGTCCCCCTTCACATTTGCTGGGACAATGTATGCTACTAGCTTTGAGAAATAACATCCCTGTGATTAGAGGCACTGAGAGAGGTAAGCCAAGACCACAAAGGAAAACACCAACAGAGAAGTACCAGCAGCCCTGGAGAAAAGTTCTCTCCATGCCATAAATGCCAGGACTGCAATAAGCTCTCCCAGCCCCAGGCTGATGCATGCACACTCTTTCTCCACAAAAAAACATCTGCAATACTTAAGTCATATAGGAAGAGGTTTGGTTGGGGGGTTTCTAAAATTGTTGGTGTTTTGCTTTGTTTTCTGTTTTAGGGATACCGTTTGCCAGGCTGGTGTTGTAATGCAACACTGCCAGTAAAACCGATCTGTGTGGTTTGCACACGCAGAGTCTGGATTCTTAAAGACAGGATGCAGCTCATCATCCCTCCTGCTCTGAAGACAGCAACCCAGTTTCTATCACCTCTAGCATATTAAATATTAATCTCATCCACAAAAGCTCTGGAACCTCAGCAAGAACATCATTCTGAAGGGATGAGCATACCCACTCCACACTCACACAATCACCAGAGATTTTTGGCTAGCAAATTCTTATGTGTCTCAATGGAAATTTTTCCGAGGCTTTGAGTGTGCCAAATTTAGGATGGTTTTCATGGGAACAGCCAGAGACACATTTCTAGCACAAAGGAGGTTTCATTACCAGAATTTCAAACTGAAATCCTATTTGAGACCCTCAGGTTTTTGCAAGAAGTTTGGTTATTTTGTTATTGCTCTTTTGTTTGCCTTGAACATTGGCAACACAGTCCTTTTTTCCTGTAAAATATCACTGCCAGATACAGCTGCCTCTAATATTCTAGAGTAAAAAAAAGAAAAAAGCTACACAGCAAGATACAGAGAGCCCAAGTGTTTCAGTGGAAATGGTTAAAAACAACTATTCTTTGGGGTAATGGAGAGAAAGACAGGCATTTCTGAGAATATCCTCTTTCCATTTAAAGCAGAGGGGAAAAAAAAGGCAGTCTGGACAAAGCACTTCATTCTGTTGCAGCTCTTTGTGCCCAATTGCCTAGAGAAATACCTTCTTATCCAGAGAACCCATTACAAGGCTCTGTCCTGTGCAGGGGCTGGGACATGCTGTATCAAGGCTGGAAATTGCCTCATTATGCTGAACAAACCATGAGGGTAAAAAGAGGAGGAAATCAGAAATTTCCTTATACTTTCTGATTTCACTAGAATATGCTGGGCTTTGAAGACCAGCACAGGGTACTGACTACCGCCCTCTACAGGCAGACCCCCTCCATTTTTATGATGCCTCTGGTTAAAGCATCGCAAGATCACACTGTGTTCCACTGGTATGATTTTTTAGAGATGCTGCTAGAAGTAATGGGCTTGTATTGTCTTTGCTGCCTTACTTGGAGGATGCAGAGTACAGAAGTGGCCCGTTTAGCAAACTGGGAACGACATGCTACTGCTGCTGAATCAGGCATCCTGCTGCATAAGCCCACAGCTTAAACAACGGAATTCCTATTGCTGCTCACCCTCTCTACTTTTCCCCATCATTGAGCCACCATTTCTGCTACCCAGGTGCCTTAGTTAGTAAGTCCCAGAGCTGCAACAACTCCTCTTTGAGAGCTGGTCCTAACTGGTACTGGTGAGGCCATTCCCTAGAAAACTGACATCTTTTAAAGACTCTTTCCTTTTGTATCATACAACCCCTCTGTCCCACACCAGCTGTGCTCTCACTGCCCCTGGGAAGCTTTACCCATTCAGGGTAAATGAGTATGGATTCACAGTCAGGCAAAACCAACACTGGAGTCAAAACGAATTTACCCAAAGGGTGAGTTCATTAAAAGCCAAGCACAGTGTCAAAACCATTACCATATTTTGACTGCTTTTCCCTGAATTTCAGTATCACCTCTCACACAGATGTGCCCCAGGAGTCCTGCTGTGCTCTCCATCAGCCATGAACATGGCTCTTCTCCTTCACCCTCTCCAAACACACACACAGCTCCAAGCTAATGCAAGTAACAGCTCTTTTCCCCTTTTGCTCCTATTTCTCAGAAGGACTACCTCATTTTTTTTCATGAAAAATACTCTCAAGAGCACTACTAATTCAAAGCATAATAATCACTGGCTAGGAATGAACCACATTAGCATAAAGGCATGACAGTTTCAATACAGCAAAAATAAAAGCAGACCATGATGCAAGAAGTAAGAGCCAGATTTCTGCACTCTTTCATGCTGCTGCATCTTTTCCTCGAGTTGGCTGGGTTTCTCTGCCTTTTTGGCTCCTAACGACTATTGACTCGCTGTGGGCTGTGACTCCCACTGCTAACAGCAGGCTCCGTAGGCTGGTTTCACACCCTTGCTGTTCCCCAAAAAAGGTGGTACTTGCACGAATGGAAACCAACCAGGCCTTGCACTTGGTGTTCTTTGTGCCGTCAAAGAGGAAAGCAGTCACAGCAGTCCCAGTTTCATCAGTCTGCTCAACTGGGAGAGAGAACTGCCATGTGCATTGGTGCCTCTAGACATACTGTTGAGGGATCATGTTGAGGTCGGTGCCACAACCATGATGTTTACGGGTCACAATGACTGTTGATACTTGGTGCTTTTGGGAGCTTGTTCTGACTTTTTTTCCCTGGTATCTGAGAGATCTTGCCAGGACACAGAGAGACACTGGGAACTGCAATTATGGCAAGAGGACAATACACTTCCCTCACACTTTCTCCTGTCCAAGACGTCACCCCAGAATAACAAGGGGAAAATGACCTAAGTGCTTTACACAGGCAGTTTGACTGCGAGGCAGCTCTCAAAATTTTACTGTAGTCCTCAAGACACTTGATGTTCATATAGATTGAACATTAAGCAAGACTTGTGGTTTTAATGAGAAAAAGTACAACAAATAATACTTTACATCCCAGTAATGTAAAGGAAATTTTGTAATCCTGATTATAATATGCTACAAAGATTTACAACAATAGAAGGTCTAAAAGCTAACTTCTCTCTTTTTTTGTTGTTGTTGTACTGCAGCTAACCCTAGGTTTGAGGATTATTTGACCTCAATC